ACTGATTTTTGTGTGTTGGTGTTGTATCCTGCAACTTTGCTGAATTCATTCATTATCTGTATTGTGTGTGTGTGCGTGTACATTTCCTAGGATTTCTACTTATAGGGTCATGTCATGTGCAAAAGAGAGTAAAGATAAAGAAGTAAAAAGAGAACAATATTATCAAAAAGAAGAAGGAAAATATTTAACTGATTCATAGGGGCCACTGAATTTCTTTTAATGGTCTGGAGTAATTTGGAAGAGGATAGTGGTGATAGTTGCACAACATGATGAATGTAATCAATGATACCGAAGTGAACCAGTTAAGATTATTGAATGGACAGCATTTTGTAATAGGTGTATTTGCCACACAAAAGTAAACTAAAATGTGTTTTCTGAGTCAGGTTAAAACAAACTTTACTGCTAGAGACATTATGAAAGTAACATGCTTATAAGAAGTATAAACACTGAGAAAGATTGTATTGTCTCTCCTACTGTAGACATAACAATATAGTACTTAGTACTTCCAGGTGTCTCCTCCCATATTTATTCAGGAGTTTGATAGAAATTAGCAAATATTTCCAGCTTATATGGTTTAATAAACATTTTCAGTTTTGGCATTCCTTACTGTTCGCTTTCAATTTAGGTCAGTAGAATTAAAATTTTTACAAAAATAAATCTCAACCAATATTCTCAATTGGTCGGAAATTTGTGCTTCTGTACTGTAGTAAGCTGAGACAGGGATAAGCAACGAAGCAAGTCAGAATTTTCTTCAGGCACCTGGCCCAATTTAGTACCCAAGTAGGTATTCATTTGAGATTTTGAGCCCCCATACCACTTGTAATATATGCAGTTGATTTTGTGCAAGAAAATTTAAAAGCAGTTATTAACAGCCTTTGTTATAAAAAAAGATTGAAATTGAATTCTGGTAGAATACTTGATTTAATTAGCACAGTATTTTATTTTCCCATTTTTTGCCTGGTGAGTTTTTTTTTCAGGTGAGAGTTTTAAAATCAGGTAATTGAGTGATTTGATGACACTGACTGTAACTAATCCTTTTACTGCCTCTCCTCTGCTCCCAAAGTGGCTTAAAAGAACAAAAGTTTACTTTAAAAAATTATAGCAAAAGTATATATATCACAAAATATTTGCCAGTTCAACATATTTTACATATGTAATTCAATCATGTTGATTACAAGTTTTGTAATACATTAACCCTCTCAACAGTTACTTGCCTTTTTAAATTCTTTGTCTCCCTTCCTTGGTAACCACTGATTAAGTTTCAATCTGTACATATTTCCCTATGTACATAAATGGGATTATGTAACAATATTTTTCCATTTTCACTCAGTATAATGTTTTCAAGGTTCATCATTGGTGCATTCACTTTATGTCAGAATAATACTCCATTGATTTATACTACATATTGTTTACCCACTTAACTGTTGGTAAACATTAACTATTGTGAATAGTGCTGCAATGAACATTGGTGTACAAGTTAAAGCCTTTCATTCTTGTAAAAGTCTTTTTCATACATAAATTAAAATTATTCAGTAGTTTTAATTTGCATTCATTGATTTCAACAAATATGAATAAATTCCTTTTTATAACCAAATTAGGAAGAATTCTTTGTTACCTGGTCTTTATTTTTCAGAGATTGCAAATCTTATAGTCTAAATCATTGTTTCCCAAAGTGCGTGATACCGTCCCCTGGGGGGCACTGGGATGATCGAAGGGATTTCGAAAGTAGATATCTATACTTATGTTGGATTATGGGGCATTGTATAAAAGTTTTTAATTGCCAAGGATTTGCTGAGTAATTATTTTTCTGAAAAAGAATGGTTGGCCAAAATAAGTTTGGGAACTTATGGCTAAATAAAAAATAACATTATACTTTAAAAAAGTAAACTTTTTACATAGTCTGCAAATATAATTCAGTTAAAAAATCAAAATTTATAAATATCTTAGTTACTGAATATAAAAATAATTGATTAAAATATTTTTTATTTCTTTTATAGCATCGCCAGGCAGCCTCTAGGCTGCTCTTTGACAGTGGTAGATGTAGAGATCAGCATTAAAACATCACTGTTACTCAGAATTAAAACAAAAATGAATGCTTCCCTTCTACAGTTAACTTCAACT